AGAGAGAGAGAGAGAGAGAGAGAGAGACTCTAATACTTTAATTACCAAATTTAATTTATATTTTTGATGTTATTTATAATACCTGTTACTTACTGCTGGCAATGCACAAAACTACATTAACTAATTACTTGTGCTCATTATAAATTACAATATTAAATTAGTTTGTGCGAAATAATATTTTTGTTTCTTGTTAATTTTTTTAAAAATTTTAATATCCACAAGAAAAAACATAATCATAATAAAATAACCCAACATTTTATATTTTAAATTGCCCTGTTGTCAAAATAGAGAGGTTTTAGTCAACATCATAATAAAACAAAAACAATAAATTGAAGTTTTGTTTATAGAGTAAATTTACCATGATAGGTAAAACCCCGCTAGATAAATAATTAAAATTTTAAGATTACCAAAGTATTGTCTCCAAATTAAGTTTGATACTTGTTTTACATTCATCATATATAATCAATTAATTTACAGTGACAGTTTTTAACGATAGCAATTACAAAAGCAGTTTATTAAACCGATAACATTATAACATTTGCAACAACTTACAGTTAAATTAGCAAATTAATATTGTAAATCTTAACTTTGTATTAGTTTAAATACTTTGTTTAATAAAATGCATAGATTATATAACAAAGTATATGCATAAAAGTAGTTACTTTTATAATGTAATTTAAAAAATAAATGTTCAAATAAAGTATACTGAAAACAATGTCAACGCTAATATATATTAAATTTTTATAATCAACTAACATTTTCAATATTAAATTTATTATTTTATACAATTACAATTTGACAAAATATCTTATCGACAATAAAGTAATCAATTTTTTTATTATTAAATATTCTAGACAAAATATTGCATAATTATATACATCATGAATTTTATTTATTACGATAGCCATAATTATATAGACTTAATGGTCTACAGGTATGTGAAAAAATATTGTATAAAAACACAAAATCACATTAAAAAGTCCATTAAAATAACTTAATTAATGGGCTTAAAAACAATTTCACTTTTCCCAATTTAAAGTGTCCTTCAAATATCTAGATGCTATTTTAAGTCTCTTTAGGCTCTCTCTCTCTCTCTCTCTCTCTCTCTCTCTCTTTCTCTCTCTTTCTCTTTCTCTCTCTCTAAAGCACATTAAATGGTATGGAAAACAGATTAAATACCAATACCAATAAATACCTGTTTCTCTGTTACTAATAACAGAAATAACCGATAATTTTGGCAACAAATTAAGGCTTTAATGACTTTTGCATTAATGACTCAAAAAATACTTTTCCATAAAAAAATTATTTTCTAATTTTATCTCAAAAAGAAAGCACACAATAAATGTGTAGTTCAGTAGTGCCCAAAAATAGTACCAAATAAGTGCATATTCTTTATAAAAATTGCTAATTCTATATTGCTACAGTTTTTCTACACAAACTTGTTAAATTTGATTTAATACGTTATTTACGCGAAATAACACATATATTATATTTGCGATAATGTACCATTGTGCAATTTTATTATTACTATTGTGCTCAGTATCGTGGGCTCAAAGGCCAGCCACGAGAGACCCGTGCGATAGCGGAGGGCTCAGACGGTTTGACGCAACCGTCGCTAAACTCATAACTATTGGCAACTCTGGCCGCAAGTTTCCCGAGACTAAGGGTCAGGATTTGAAAGTGTTTTGCGAGTAAGTAATTTATATTGCAATATAAAATTTTAACAAGTTGATTTAATACAGATTAATTATTTATGTAACATTAAATTTGTATTTATTGTATTTAATATTAACATTTTTTAATTCATATTTTATATGATATAATTATTTACTTTATTTTAGGCAATCGTTTGAATACATATCCGAGATTGAAGAGTATCGATCAAAGTGCATGGTCAAATTGCCCAAGCAGGTGACTGGTGTGTTGGTGTACGCGGTGAAAAATGCCATAAAACAATACTGCAAGAAGGATTCCAAACGATTGACCGAGCTCATTTATAGCACACCGTGCATTAACAAAGCCGACAGCGAAGTAAATATACTTAATTAATTTTTTGTTTAATTTAAAATACATTTTAATTAATTTGTTGAATCTAGTTCACAAAGTGTCACGCAAAGTTGATAGACTCATTCCAAGGCGCTAGGTACGCCAACGAAAGCAAACGTATCCCACACATTTGTTGGTAAGTAAAAGCTAGCAACATTATTTACTAACTAACTGTAATAAAATTTTATTTTATAAAAATATATTTAACAAATTACTATTCTGCATACATTATGGTGTATGTTTACATCAATCAATAATTATTTAATTAATTTTATGTAATTAATGTACAATGTTTATTTATATCAATACAACAATACAGCGAATACTTTAAAATATACGAGTGTTTTCACGACCGAACCAAACGGTACCCAATCTGTACCAGTAATCGTGTGGAGCATTTGGCCGATTTTATCAAGTCCATTTTTAACAACATGGTTGACCTCATATGCGGCGATAATATTGACGGCTCGGACAAGTGCGATAAACTAGGTACTTTTTATATTAACATTTTCAAGCCAAAGTTTTTACATAAAACTTATACTTATTGTATCGCAGAATCTCCACCGAGAAAGAAAAAGTCCGACAAAAGGACCAAATCGTTTGCCGTACCCCTAATCCAGGTGTTGGACTCATTCCCAGAGATATAGGCGCTACAGTCATACCCCGATTTAATGTACTCCAGTATATGCGACCATAATGTCATTTGTCATACCTTCGTTACCTTTGATATATACGTTAATCGCACTGATAAAATAAATATAGTTTTTTCTGGTATCATGATAAAATATCATAACAAACATAATAATAGTACAACTATTTTACCATTTTTCTGTATTGGCTATAGCTAGTTTATTTTTATTTAATCATTCTTTTATACATTAAACTTTGTGGTAAACAATTATGTATTATCTTATAAATATTAAAATAAATACATACATACATTATTATTATTTGATAATTTTCATACAAGTTTGGTAATTTCCCTGTTCATCAAAATACCTATCAAATTTTGGTATTTATGAACATTTATTTTCTTATTGCTCACAATTGAATAGGATAAAAAACTCTTAAATATTTACAACTATTGTTAAGCTATAAATCAAGGCCATTTATTTTACATATAAATAATGATATTTTATAGTAAATAAGAACTTTTTAATAAAACTTGAGAATATCAAAATGTCAATTTTAAGCAATATATTTGTAATATTTATAGTGTTATTTAATGTCACCTTGTTGGTTTATTGTGCAACACAATGTGGCCCAGTTGGACTAAAAAAGTTTGACTCGGATGTAGCTAAACTAGTTGTTGTTGGTAGTTCGGGTAGAAAATTGCCCGAGGATCGAGGTCCTTATTTGAAAAAATTTTGCGAGTTAGTATTGATATTTATGATAATAATAATTATACCGAGTTTGTTTCAATTTCATAATTATTATTAACTATTATGTTATAGTGAAACTACCAGATTGGTAAAAGAGATTGAAGATTACCGTAATGAATGCATGGATAATATGCCCAAACAAGTAGCTGGATTTTTATTATACTCGGGTAAATCTATGGTCAAACAATTTTGCCGTAAAGGCTCAAAAAGTGTTGATAAGTTATTGGACGCTGGTGTATGCGGCAACGCTGGTATCGCCCAGGTAACTTGTATAATTTACTATAATTTACGTAAAAATTATTCTATAAAATCTATTAGATGAATAAATGCTACACTCGGGCTATTGATCTACTACTTGGTATACAAACATCCAAGGAGGATAAGAAAAAGATACCATGGTTATGTTGGTAATTAATCCACTAATCACAATTAAGCCTACAAAATATTGCATAATAATAATCTATATGAAAATTTGCTATATTTTGTAGTGGTGTATACGATATAATTACTTGCCTTCAGGACAATCTACAGGATGTCAAACAATGTACGCCCGACAGGCAAGAAGTTATTTTCAGCATGATACGTCAAGTCTCCGGCCGCACCATGGACGTTTTTTGCGGCGAATACAACGAGGGTTCTGATAAGTGCGATAAGCTAGGTAAAGTATAATTTATTACAATTGATAATTCAATTTTCTCAATGCAATAATAATTCACCATGCTAGAAAAACCGCCTAAAAAACTGAAATCCCAGCGCAGGACTAAATCGTTTGCCATTCCCATAATTGACGTGCTTAAGGGGTTCCCAGAAGTTTAATGGCCATGATCATTTAGGATATTGTTTTTTGCATTGGACAAATGTTCCTATTATATAATGGTATAATATATAAATAAATATAAACGCAAATAGATAATCATGGATACTTGTCAGCATAATGATTATGACATCTTATTACTTGTACATGTAGCTTTATGTTTAACTTATGTATTTGATTGTTAAAAAATTGTAAATTATTTATACGATACTCATTTTTAGCTACATAATAAAAATATCAAATAATCATTAAATTCAAGGTATAATTTATTATTCAATAGGAAAATACTTACATATTACGCGTAAACTTGCGTTAGTGTACTATTTACATATAAGTATTTTACAAATGAAACTCTTAACCAGCATTTAGAATTAACATTACATTATACAATGTTCAAGTTAATTACATTAAGCTTGAATTTGATAAATCTAATCTTGATCATACATGGTCAGACCAACAAATGTGAAACTGGCTGGTTGAAAAGGTTTGACTCGAACGTGGCCAGATTATTAACCGTGGGCAATTCAGGTAGAAAGTTTCCTGAACAAAGGGGCTCCGAATTGGAAAAATTTTGTTCGTAAGTAATGTTTAATAAGTAATATACTAAATAATATATATTAAAATTAGTACCCCGGTTCAATTCATAAGAATTTTCTATTTTATTTATAGCGAAAATGACAGATTAATCAAAGTGATTGAAAAGCAACGTAACGATTGTATGTTGGACATGCCAAAACAAATAACGGGTGTTTTAATATACGCTGGTAAAAATTCACTCAAACAGTTTTGTAAACCTAACTCAAAACATCTGACTAAATTATTGAACGCATCACAATGCGCAAATTCCGCAAATAATCAGGTTTAATTAAAAATAAATATTTTAAATTAAAATTAACGATACTTGATCATAATTTGAATTTGTGATTATGTTTTTTAAATATTTTGATGATTTAGATAAATAAGTGTTACACAAAATTGATTGATAAAATACTTGGTATACAGACATCAAATGAGGACAATAAAAAGTTACCATGGTTGTGTTGGTAAGCATTTATTATATAATGTAAATTATTAAATAAAATAGGAAACCATGATTATATATTTTTAAAAAATTTCTTTATGTAGTTCGCTATTTGATGGATTGAAATGTATAGAAAACAAAGTAGAGGGTGTGCAACAATGCTCTGCTGATAATATCGCTACCTTGATGACCATAATTCGATCGGTAACCGGAAACACCGTGGACGTATTTTGTGGTGATTATACAGAAGAGTCGGATAAATGCAATAAGCTAGGTTAGAATTCAAAATTTATTATTTTAAAAAATATAATAACTTTACAATAATTTTGATTTAACCAGGCTTGCCACCAAGAAAATTAAAATCTCAGCGCCGGACAAAATCGTTTGCCGTACCTATGATTGACGTTCTGCAGGGATTTCCCGAAGTCTAACCATGGATAATTAAATGTATTATATTGCTTTTAATAAGTAAACATAATTATTTGTAATTTAAATAATAATTAATTTAAAAAACAGATTAAGTTTCCTATAATGATTTATCGTGATAAACTCAAACTATTTACTCAAATTTAACTTTGGATAAACATTTATAATTATATTTTCTTTTAAATATTGTTAATAAATCGCATGATTATAATTAATATTTAATAAGCATGATCTAATAGAAATATTTTATATAATACTATTAATTAGCATGACTTATTATTAACTTCTTGCATATATTTTGCTCACATACATGTACTTTATAATAATAACATATATTTATAGCAAAATAAAATTCTTTTTTAGAGAGAAAGTATTTGATACCTGTTTTTGAGAGTGAGTGAGTGAGAGAGAGAGAGAGAGAGAGAGAGAGAGAGAGAGCAAAAACATCCATAATTTAACCATTAAAATCAAGGTCAATTTCAAACAAAAATTTCCACTTCATATATAAATGTATAATTCATTTAGTATAAAGGATTTATTAAGTGAAATATAAAATTAATTAATACATTAAACTTATTCAATTACAAAATGACCAAGCTAATATTCTTAGTGAGTTTAATTACAATATTTAATCTCAACATGGTGGCGCATGGACAAACACGTAAATGTGAAAAGGGTTGGGAGAAAAAACAAGATGAAGACGTGGCCAAATTAATTACGGTGGGCTCGAGCAGAAAATTTCCCGAAAATCGTGGTGCTGATGTAAAACGATTTTGCGAGTAAGTACATTTTATAAAGTATCATGAACAAAAATGAACATTTGAGACAGTCATTGTGAATTGTTTCATGGTAGATTTCTGGATTATCGCAATATTAATATATTATTTTAATGTTGTTATTAATGTGTTTAATCTAAATGTTCAATAAATAGCGAAGCTACTAGGTTACTCGGTGTACTTGACTATCGGCGTAACAATTGCATGGACAATTTGAACAAGCAACTACAAGGCGTTTTAGTATACTCAGCAAAAGCTGGATTTGGCCGTTTTTGCAAACCCGAGTCCAAGAACTTTGAAAAATTACTAAGGTCAGGTCGATGCGCTAACTCAGGTAGCACGCAGGTAGAATTGTTTAAAAAATTAACATGTCAACTTGTTTTCAATGAAATAAAATTATTATGTCATAAATAAATAGTATTTTTTAAATTTAGGTACGAAAGTGTTACACAGAATTGATTGACAAATTTCTTGGCATAAAAAATGGTAAAGATGACAAGAAAAAGCTACCATGGTTATGTTGGTAAGTATTATCGTATATTATGCTAACATCTATATAAAATTTTACTTTCAAAATAATTACCTAGCTCAACGTATGAAATGTTTGCGTGTTTGTCAAACAAATTACAAGGTGTCGAACGGTGTTCACCAGAAACAATAGAAGATTTACTTACCCTGGTGCGCGGAATTACCGGAAGCACCATGGACGTATTTTGCGGTGATTATACAGAGAGTTCAGATAAATGCGACAAACTAGGTAAAACAAAGTTAATTTTACATTATAACTAATTAGTATTAATTTGTATCTTGATTGTTTTATTTAAAAAATCAGAGGCACCTCCAAAAAAGTTAAAATCTCAACGACGGACCAAATCGTTTGTTTCGCCTATGGTTGCCGTTTTAGAGGGCTTTCCCGAAGTATAGTATATAATATGCGCTTCATAATTATATAATGACCTATTAAAAATAAAGAATGAGATGTAAAGTTTAAATTTTGTAAACATTATTAAAAACATTATTAATCAATTAAATAAATTAACTTGCTTTTATAAATACTTATGTATTATTTAAGGCAAGTTTTTAAATTGAATAAACTATTATGTAATTATTATATAGTGATGTGATCTAATCAAGAAATAAATAGCTTATTCGTTAGATGTATACAATATTATTTATTACCAGAGTAATTTGTTTAATATGGATTTATGAAGCTATAGTTTACAATGGGTTGGCATTTTTTATTGATTTAAAACTACAATGTATGAATTAATTACAATATTGGTTGTGAGATTGAGTATTTTTGATTCTAACTATGCATGTAATATTAGGAGTCATAAACTAGGTAAATAATTCGTGACCAAAAAATACAATACTGTAACTAATAGTTAGAGTTAGCTTAATAACAAACCCATTTAAGATACAATAATGATTTGTTATTAATAAAGTTACTCGTAAATATTTTTATCCAAATTATCGGTAATTGATATAAATAGACAAAGAAATAATTATCATTATAATCAAGGTCTATTTTTAGTCGTTTATTATTTAAGTCCTAGATCATTTAAAATACAAACTATTTTATTTTTAGCAATAGAGTGTTTCTAATTTAAATAAAAATTATAGTAAATTATACTTTATAAAAAAAACATAATGCTTAAAATGAATTTATTAGTTATTACTTTGTTAACTACAACCTCGATCATTTACGGTTTGCCCGGTAAATGTGAGAAGGGTTGGTTGAAAAAGTTTGACGCAAAAGTGGCCAGGTTAATAACAATTGGTAATTCAGGTCGAAAGTTTCCCGAACGACGTGGCTCAGACTTGAAAAAATATTGCGAGTATGTTCATTAGTAATTTTTACTATTACCCTTGTAATAAATTATTACAATAACTATACATACTCAATATATACAAATACATATTTAATGGACATAATCTAATATGTAAATTAAATTTACATTTACAAAATAATGTAATTCACAATTCCTAATATGATGTGTTCATTAATAAATCAAATATACTTTACCATGATGTATTTTAGCGAAACTGAGAGATTGGTAAGGGACATAGAAAAACAACGCAACTTGTGCATGGACAATATGCCCAAACAAATAACCGGCGTTTTAATATATTCGGCTAAAAATACGATTAATCGGTTTTGCAAACGGGATTTAAAACAACTGACTAAATTGCTGGGTGCCGCTAAATGCGCCAACACCGCAAATAACCAGGTACATAATTTAATTACATTCCCTGATCATAATTAATTTAAACAAACTTACATATTTAAGGTAAATAAATGTTATACGGAATTAATCGATAAATTTCTCGGTATTCAAACATCGGACGATGATAAGAAAAAGATACCATGGTTATGTTGGTAATAGTATTGCATGCTTAATTAATCGAGAAGCAATTTTCGTTTCATTAATTCTATAAAACCAATTATTATTTTATATTTTGTCCTAGCTCATTATTTGAATTATATCCATGCTTGGCAAACAAAATACAGGGCGTCAAACAATGCACAGTGGATAGTGTGGACGCCATGTTAACCTTGGTGCGTTCAACCGTTGGTAATACCGTAGACGTATTTTGTGGCGATTATTCCGAGGGCTCCGATAAATGCGAACAGCTAGGTGAACATTTTAATACAAATTATATAAAATTTAATTATTATATAACTATTCATAAACCAGAGCCGCACCCAAAGAAACTGAAATCCCAGCGCCGGACAAAATCATTTGCAATCGCTTTGATCGATGTGTTAAAGGGCTTTCCCGAAGTGGCCTAATTTTGACCATGCTTGTATTATTATATTGATTATGTGTCAATGGTGTTTTGGGCTTGATAAAAATAAATTCTATCAAGATTTTAATGAGATTATAAATAGTATTATATGTTATGCTTAACACGATAAATATTTGTTACATTTAATATTAAATAATATCATATTATAACCAATTGATATTTTATAGGTTTTTAGAAACAAAACTATTGGCTAATATGTCCAATAGAAAATTATAATCATGATCGTAACAAATAAAACTAATAATATAATGTTTATATACAGTTGTTTACTAATAAGAATGAAATAACAATTGAACATTTACAATAACTAATTATTATTATTTTGAAACCATTAATATAAAATCAATAAACATTGGCTATATAGAATTAATAATGAGTTTATTTAATATAACTACAGCTTTGGTATAATTATATCAAGACAAAATATGTATTATATAATTATAACAATAGGTATTATAATTCATTTAAAACTTTTCCATTATTTATAATTATAAAATATGTAATTGACAATTACTAATTGTATGCTAAATCATTGTTATTATTAATAACTTTTTAATAACTTATTAATAAAATTACTGTTTTAATGTTATTAATATAATGAGCTTAGAAAATTATTTCTGCTCTAGTAATTACAAAAAAATATAACAAAAATTTAATAAAAATAAGCATAATTATAAATTAATTAATTTTCTGTTAAATAGGTTTTTAGTATTTTAAGCTTATCTTTAAATTAAGTTAATTTACATTATTTTATACATGATTTATAAACAGCTAGAGTTAAGACAGACTTTCATAAATATTTGTACAGGATTAAGTTTTATATTACAAAATTTTGTAATTGTCAATACGTGAAATTAATATTAATAAGCTATTTTTAAGTGTATAATTTAAAAAATATACAGATGTATGTACAGTATTGGATCATTTGGGTGAAGTACCAGTTGTGTGAACTAACCATTTGTATGAACCAAACCCTGAAACCAAAACCCGCACTGCATAGACATAATGTTAAAAAAGTACCATTTGTGTGAACNTCATTTGGGTGAAGTACCAGTTGTGTGAACTAACCATTTGTATGAACCAAACCCTGAAACCAAAACCCGCACTGCATAGACATAATGTTAAAAAAGTACCATTTGTGTGAACGTCACCTGTGTGAACGGATCATTTGTGTGAACAATTTAGAGCTATTATTATACAAAATTCAATGCTTTTTAAGATCAATTGAGTGAACCATATATTTTTTCCATTTGAATGACAACTCATTTAATGAACAATTGAATGAAATGCTAACACAATTGTTTAAAACTTCATTTAAATCATTAAAATAACAGAAAATTACAGACTATTTCTCATATAACAATTAAAATGTGTAATTTTGAATATTAATAGAAAAATAACTGTTTTTAATCACATTTTTAGCAGGATCATTTGTATGAATAGATCATTTGTGTGAACCAAATGCTAAAACCCGATCACTTCACCCAAATGATCTTTTACTGTATATGCAACAGTGAAATATACGCAAATTCTTATACATATTTAATTTTAAATAAATAAAAAACATTTATAATAGTCTATAGTTTTATTGATTTACAAAACATTCATATTTTTAAATATAAAATATATTAAAATCAAGGTCTTATTCATAATTAAATATTGCTGTGTTTAACATTTAATAAACGTAATAATATTTTAAATAAAAGGAGCTTTATTTTATATTAAATGTCTTTAATTTAATCATGGTTAAATTGTATGTTCTAATATTGTTATATATTTTAACCGTTGCATATGTGGTATTAGCCCAACAATGTAACTCTAATGGACTTAAAAAGTACGATGCTAACGTGGCCAGATTAATGACTATTGGCAATTCTGGTAGAAAGTTTCCTGAACGACCAGGGTCGGAATTAAAAAAATTTTGCGAGTAAGTAATTTATAGTGAAAATTTATTATGTTTTTAATAATTATTATTTATCTTACATATTGTCAAAAATTGGTAAAATATCACTATGATATAAATTTTAAAAATACATCAACTTAAATTATTATAAAATATTAAAATTTTTATAATACAAGTGAAACGGAAAGAGTGCTGAAAGATCTAGATAAATACCGTAATCAATGTCTGGATGCTGCGGATAAACAAGTGGGAGGTGTGTTAATATACAGTGTCAAAAATGCATTAAAACAATTTTGCAAAAATAAATCAAAACATTTGACCAAGCTTCTAAGCGCTGCCAAGTGCGCCAATGGGGCAAATGACCAGGTTATTTATTTTCAAATAATATGTTATACATTTTATAATTATATCATTACAGTTTTATTTTTGTTCACATTTGTAAACCATAATAGATTAACAAATGCTACACTGAATTCATTGATAAACTGCTTGGCATACAGACATCTAGCGATCATGTTAAAAAAGTACCTTGGATGTGTTGGTATATATACAGTTGAACTAACAATATATTATACAAGATATATAAGTTACATAGTTAAAAATTAATAATTTATTAAATATAGACTCGCGAATATAAAAAAGAATATAAGCTTGCTATAATTAATTTTTTGTCACAGCTCACTGTTTGATGTATATCCCTGTATAACGGATAAAGTACAGGGTGTCCCACAATGTGGGCCCGATGCGCTGGAGTCTACCCTATCATTTATCCGGTCAACCACTGGCAACACTGTTGATGCGTTTTGTAGCGATTATACCGATGGTTCGGATAAATGTGCTAAACTAGGTAATTTCTTGTAAAATATTACTTTTTTAACAAGTTTAGTATGCAAATAATATGCATTCTTCAAATTCCAGATCGACCACCAAAAAAACTAAAATCTCAACGCCGATCAAGGTCGTTTGCCATTCCGTTTATTGCTGCCGTTAGGAGTATACCTGAAGCTTAATAAATCCGATTTGATCTTGATGACATTTTTTGCAAAATGTTTGCATGTGCATAGTTTAAAGTGATTTTTAATGTTAATTACAATACTTTGTTAACATATTTTTAATGATAATTATTTTATTATATTTCAAAATTACACAAATAAACTAATAAGAAAATAATTAATTATATTGAATTTAATTGCTATTTATTTTAATAGTAATATACTTAAATAATAAACTTGTTATGAAATAATTGGCCTCATGGATGGGAACTGCTGTTCACCCGATGTTGGTGTAGATGGTAGAGACTTAGTGGCGGTGAACAGGCGTTGGCCACTGATAGGACTTCTCTGAATATAAGTCCTCTTACCGTATAAATGACTACAATTAGTAGTCCTGATGTTGCGGTTGAGTCTTCGGATCCTTCCGGACAATCCCTATGGTTTGCTGCCTTTTTAGGGCTCGTAAGAGCGGTCCCGTGTCCTACTTTTTAGGACAAAAGACCTCCAATGAAATACACGCGGTATTCAATGAG